TTTGGTGAATAACAACAGAATTTTATTTAGAGAAGAACGGAGACACTGTTTTCTACCATCCGACAGCTAATAAGAACTGTGGAAACATTTTTCTTTCTAAGATCACTAAATCTTCTGATAGCTTTTGAATTCTAGAAACCATAGATAATGGCTGGTAAAAGAAAGATAGTTGACATTTCAAAAGTTACATCTCGATAAAAATATATAACGCTCATACAAAATCCCTTTTGATTAAGCTTAATACTTCGATTATGGATGAAATTTATTTTGATGAAGTCTCACAGTGTTATACAGTAACATTCAATGATGACGTTTCGAGAAGAATTTATTGCTCATAATCATATCAAGTCAATCACACAACTTCCCTACTTCGTTTATATGGTTCCACTAGTTGTCCTCTCTTGATTTGATTAGTAGTAATATTTTCTATATTTCTGGTATGAGTGATGAGTCATTCCTATTGCACGTGTTGGGTGTAGATTCTATGAACAAAGATTCAGTAATCAACGTCTCTCTCCAACTACCTGTATTACTTCTCAGAATTTTAACGCTCTTCCACCCTATTGCGTGGTTGTGTATCAATGCATGCAGTGCGATCACTGAGCTTTTCTCTAGATTACTTATCTTGGTGGGGTCAATCACTCTAACCTTAGCTAAATTCTTATGTCCTGACAATCTGACTACCCCCGATCTACTAGTCTGACCTATGTATTTGATCTCGCAGTCATTGCAAGGTATTTTGGATACTATATTATTCCTCTAATTGAGTCAACAGAGTTCTCTAACCTACAGAGCTTGTCCCGCCTGAGTGAGTTTGAAGGTTCAAATGCCACCCTAATTCCTGCTTTACTAAGAATCCTACGTAAGGTTCCACATGTTCCTTCCTTATATGGTAATACTGTAGATGCCTTATATTCTTTCTCATTTATGTTATCATTATTAGTTTCCTCATTATTCTGATTTTACATTTGACTTTTTCTAATCATCCTAATGGATTTTAATAGAATAATTATTTAACACCAACGGTTCTTCTATCTGTTTTATTTCATCAGTCAGGTTTATTGTCGTCATACTTAGTGCTATTGCTCGTTCGTTTGATACTTAACTCAGTCTGCCTCTACAGATAACGGATTCGATGAATTAAAGTCTGAATGTTAATTAGAATGCGTTGGCTTTTTATAAACGCTAGTGTTCAGTTTACCTCCTCCCGATCGCTTTATTTTACAGTCTGACATAGCAAATTCTCCATGTTTATTTTCCGATTCAAATGTGAATTCTATTCCCTTTATAAGTGAGCTTATATGTGTGAAGAAACAAGAGATATGTTCTGTTTTTTTTTGAATACTGTTAAAATGTCATCCACATATCCCCAACATATTTTTGGAGTAGGATTAAATGTATTAGGAGCTATATTTTCCCTGCTATCCATAGAGATATCTGCCACGATTGCGGATACTGGTGATCTCATTGCTACACCTTCAGTTTGGTTATATTTCTTCCCTGGGATTTAAAGGTGGCAGGCCTGAGGGATAATAGAATTCCTACACTGATTTTCTCGACAGGTAGCTGTGTCCAGTGGGTAAGTTCAGGATCAGTAGTTAATTCTCCTTTAACTGCTTCTAAGACCATATTGTTTGGAATATTAGTGTCAAGACTAGTTGTATCAAAACTTATCACTTTTCATTATTGTCTTATTGAATGCTATTTAGTCTCCTTTTCATCTCATATGAATTAGTTAGCCTAGATTTTGAACGAGCTATAATATTAGACCTAAGTGTCTTGATAATTCATAAGTAGGGGTATTTCTGAAATCTACTACTGGTCATATGGGGTAACCTGGTTTATGTATTTTTATAGAACCACATAATCTACTAGCATTATTAGTTTTAGGCATTAAATTAACCCAGTGACACCTTCATTGTACGTATAAGTGGACATTTGAAATCTTACGTAGGATTCTTAGTAAAGCAGGAATTAGGGTGGCATTTGAACCTTCAAACTCACTCAGGCGGGACAAGCTCTGTAGGTTAGAGAACTCTGTTGACTCAATTAGAGGAATAATATAGTATCCAAAATACCTTGCAATGACTGCGAGATCAAATACATAGGTCAGACTAGTAGATCGGGGGTAGTCAGATTGTCAGGACATAAGAATTTAGCTAAGGTTAGAGTGATTGACCCCACCAAGATAAGTAATCTAGAGAAAAGCTCAGTGATCGCACTGCATGCATTGATACACAACCACGCAATAGGGTGGAAGAGCGTTAAAATTCTGAGAAGTAATACAGGTAGTTGGAGAGAGACGTTGATTACTGAATCTTTGTTCATAGAATCTACACCCAACACGTGCAATAGGAATGACTCATCACTCATACCAGAAATATAGAAAATATTACTACTAATCAAATCAAGAGAGGACAACTAGTGGAACCATATAAACGAAGTAGGGAAGTTGTGTGATTGACTTGATATGATTATGAGCAATAAATTCTTCTCGAAACGTCATCATTGAATGTTACTGTATAACACTGTGAGACTTCATCAAAATAAATTTTATCCACAATGGAATTATACTGCTACACGATGGATAAGTTCTGTTCCTATACGCTTAATACTTATTACCTCATCCCAGAAATTTGCTAAGCGTTAATTGGAAGTAATTCATGAAAGCCTACTATTACAGAGTATGTTTAGAGCTAAACTAGAATTGTAGGTTTGTTTACAATCCTACATTCATTTAGTTTCTAATCCATATCTTCACTATCAACACATGATCAATAAACCTGTGTTGTTTGCTTATTCACCAATATATGAGTATGAAATAGCTAATCTCTGATAAACGTAAGCATTCACCTTTTTGTCATCCAAAGTTTTACCATGATAGTTTACAAAAACAATTTAAAAACTAAACCACGATAATCAGACACTAAAGGTTATATTTATTAAATTAAACCAAAATTATCTCAGTGATTTTACAATCACAATAGGGAAACTTTGCTCTCGATTTTCACTGAAATGTTTGGTACTGCTATGCTAAAATAGTCGATTTTCAAATTCTCTACATTGATAAACCTTTTTTCTCTAATTTATACAACTCAGTAATTTTGGCTTTATCTGCTAAAAACATTATATACGAAAGTCGATCATACCCTCAAATATGACAATGTTTGTGGTGGTTAAAAGGTTGGTTTTTTATTTAGTGTTCAGTATTAGGATATAAATAATTTACTAAATAAATAGCACTGTGAACGTGGTGTCTGTGACGTAATAATGATGTTTTCGTATGCCATACCCACTGAAGACCATCAGTGTTGACTGATTCAGTGCATTATGCATCCCTGACTCCCTTTTTTTTCATTATATTAAACTTTTAATCCTAAACCGATCCATCTACCGCATAGTATTATCTCTTGAAAAAAAATCTTGTAAATAGGAAAAAGCAAAATCTGTCCTGAAGTCAGTTTACTGGAACACGAATTCAAATATTGAAAAATGCACCACTGAATTGCTGCGAATAAATTCTGCTCCTTTTTTCTCTTTAAAATTTTAAAGGATTTAGTATATTCTTCTTGAAAAAGAGATTAATTCATTTGTTTAAATTTGTTTATTTCCTAATATGTTAAATGGAGAGTTTTTGTATCATCAGAAGTGTTCACTGGTGTCAATGCGAATACATGCATATGTCGGCTTTATGTGCATTTCTTCATGTGTATATGTGCTAGACAGGGAGGAAGTATGTGTACTAAATGGTAGATGCCCAGTCATTTTGTTCCCAAACATTGACGAACCTTGACCCTAATTAACTCTGTATCAAACCAAATAAAAATGATTGAAGATTTGATTAAATAAATTCTCTTCACATTATGTGTGTTGGGCATATTGTGTGGTACTTTACAGAATAAAGTAAATTTCTGGGGTGGCAGCGGGTTAGTGCATGGGTGAAAAGCACCATAATAATTGTCTAGTCGGTAACAGTTGGCAAAGATCAAACATTTCATTGTCGGCACACACAAACAAATGGATACGCATGCAGATGCACTGAACAACAAACACTTGGGGAAAAGTATAGCATCTCATCTGGCATCATAGAAGAAATAGGGTAACTTGATACAGATACATACACGCAAACACAGAAACAAACAAGCACTGTGAATAGGTTTTTTTCAAATACAACACAACATCATTTTTTTTCGAAAGGTACTGGAAGAGAACAGGTTGCAATTAATATTTGTACCGGCATTGTGAAATCTTCATCACAATCATTATGATCATTATAGTTTAAAGAAATAACTGGGTGCATTTTTTGGGCCAGTAGGAGAGTTTGAACTTTGTATTGTTACACAAGCACATAGTACATGTGTGTACACACATCTTTCTCTACCTGTATTTAGGAATACGTGTGTATTATTTATGCTTTGTGCACAAATCATCTTCAAGCGCATTTATGAACATACAAATAAATATACTCTCATCACCAATTCGTATAAATTTGTTCACCTAATTTACTATATTATATTTATATGCACACATCAAAGAAAGCAAAATGTATATATATAATACATGACTTAGACGTCTACCGTAGATAATAATAATTTTTCTGTACCTTTCAAAACATTTCACTCATCCGACTATTTATCATGAATATTTATTACAATTAGTGGAATAATTCTTCGTTTCTCTAATTTTTTCATAACTCTTACTTGAAGACAAGAAAAATAGCAACGTATGCATCATATGTAGACTAGATTAACTGTACTCAACTGGATAAAAATTCATAGCTAAAATAATAATAATAATTTATCCCATCTGAAGACAAATTACACACATATTGTATTTCACCTAGAAAATTGTATGTTGGCACTATCTTCTGGTTTCTACCGAAGTCCACTTAAATTCTTCACACAAGACGTTTACTGCTGAAAAAAACCAAAAATTTGTCTATTGCATCAGTAACAAACAGTAATCCTAAATGAATTTATGTAAATATTTTTTTAAAGAAAATGATTGGAATTATACAAGATAGTAGCAAAAACATGAAGAATAAAGGTCAGTGAAGCATTTATTTTGTAGAAATGTATTCATAATGATCTTTGTCTAATTTGCCGGAGATTTTGAAAATAAATGGGAGTATTCTCTTCATATTTTGACATTAAATACAAGTTTGTTTGTAACTTCTTTGGAAGTTATGATATTAAGTAACAAAACAAAAATTTAGAGCAGCGCTTTGAACAATCTAGAACCACTGATATTCGGGATATCTCGAAGTATTCTGTTTGAGTTATATGGTATGTGGTTTTTAGAACTGCACTTGTTACGCCTACTAGTGGTGTATTTCAACAATATAATTTTCATAAGTAATACCAGAAAAGGAGTCTAGTTCATTATAGGAATGGAAACTCTTCCTGTGTTCGGTTTGTACAAGTGGTCATTAGGTCAAGTGATTTCATTATTGTTATTACTAACCACGAAAACTGTTATTAGTTTAAGTCACTCGAATGCAGGACTTCTTTACGCCGTATTAAATGCCTGGTGTAAACAGTAAGCTAATTCCCATGTCATATGCTACTTTGCTTGACTGAAAATATTTGATTTTGTTTCTTATTTTTGATTATAGCTTGATTCCACACCGTATTTTTGGTACAATTATGGAATTTTCAGTACATGATATCGGTAGCCCAATTTTGCGGGTCGACCATTGATATCAGTTGTGCGCCGGCAGGGAATCGAACCCCGGACCATGTGCATGGTTGGCGAAAGTCCTAACTGCCGTGCCACCGACACACACCGAAAATATTTATCGTAACGCATTTGAAAATTAATCTTTGTTTGTGTAAATTCTTAGCTGCTTGTTATTTGATCATTATTCAAATTGAACAATCTTATTCCAAGTTTATACATGGACAGTTGTTTCACTCAGACCTATTGGTTCTTCACGTCTATCTCCATGTGCTTCTTTGTAGTCATGTAACTTTAGTACCTTTTCTCTATGTACTGTCCAGCAAGCTTTAATTAAAGACATTAATTTTTCAACAATGCCACATATATACATATATACGAGTAAGTGTTTTCCTTTGTTAGATTGTGGAGAGCGAACGTTATTCTAGATAACTCCCTGGACAGTTATATCAACGCGCGAAACAGTCATCACGTATAGAAAGGGGAAAACAACACCTTTGTCACACATACAAAACACTTTAAAGAATTCACTACACCCAAATGACGTTTACGTAATGCAATATAAGAATCCAACTTAGTTGTTGAAATGTAATTTCAGCCGTCAATGGAATTCAGATTTTCTTTCTAACTGTATTCAAATTCTTACTTGTCAGTTAACAGTTTTTGTGGGCGTGTCCAATAGTGGCACGGAGAAAAGACTGTGTGAAGCAGAGGCGAGAGCTTATGGGCAATCATTTTGCTGGATAAAAATGACTGCAGAGAGCAATATAAAATGGAAATACGTTGCAGGAGATCTATGTTTTACTCAGAACTCAACTGCCATACAGAAATAGATTGTTTGACCTAGAGGTTAAGTGGTACGCTATAATATTATAAATAAAACTAGCTTAACTACCAAATGTGAATGAAGTGTTACTGGAATTCTAGAAAATGTATCAAAAGACATTTGAAATTTCACCTGTCTAGGACAATTGCTTGAAACTGTCAAACACAAAACAACGAAAACATTTTGCAATTGAGCAAATTGTGACTGCAGTTAGCCATTTTAGCAGTTTCAATCTGTAGAAGGTGAAAAGTGGGTTAAAGTTATAAACTATAAGCTGTATTAAAATAAATAATTTTGAAGAAACTGATTATAGGCCCATATAAATAAAAAAAATTGGATGACAAACTATAATTTGAGTAATAACTATTTAGTTCGGCTAAGAGGACGATTTCAATTAGTGTACTTGTCTAAAACTAATAACTGTTGTTTGGAAATAAATACAAAGATTAAAGGGAGATGCGAGAAGTCATCGGAATAAAATTAATTTTGCACGACAACTATGATAATCTTATCAGACGTATATTACGCGGAAAATTACTACAAAATCTGACACAATACAGTTTATTTGGTCTTAAAAGCCATTTACATCAATCAGTCAGAACAGAGAATCTTTCAAAAGAACTTTTTGAGATACAATCTTAAATTAACACCTCAGAGTAACTATTTTGATTACTTACAATGGAAACAACATACCTGATGGTTTGAAGGACTTATACAGTCCCTTCTCTCAAACGTTTCCAAGATACAACTCTTCAGCCAATGAAAAAAGTTATAATTTTTTGTTTTCAGGTTAGTGTTGTGTTTCCATTGACTGATTATGTTGGACTGAAATGCTCAGTCTCTGTTAACATACCCCTTCGATAATATCTAAGAAATAACATGAAGTTATTTTAGTGGATGGTGACCAGCGGTCGAGTCTAGGTAGGGCGTTTCACCGAATGTGGGACTCGTCAGTTAGATGTACCTGCATTCCCAGTGAGTGATGGTGATGTTCTCATTGAGACTCTGAATCTGCGCCCATTTCAACAGATACTAAGCCTTTCAGTCAAAAAGTAATCAGTCGTCGGAAAATACGAAACTAACCTCAAAACAAACAACAGCTAACACGCGTCGCACAAGAGGTGACTCTTGTAACCCTCGTGGCTAGATGACATGGCTTTCAAGATAGAAACAATAGGTGTAGTGATCTGATCTCAGTGGGAACAACATCATCACTCACTGTAATAGCAGGTACAACTAACTGACGAGTTCGAAATTTGACAAAATGCACACCCTGGATTTGACTACTAGACACCACCAACCGAAATAAGTTATAGTTTTGGTGAATTATTTGGCGAATACCAATAAAACCCTAATCAGCAACTGATTCAAATTACGTATCCATTAGTTGTGAATTTCTGAGGATTTTATTTTCGCTTTTCGGCTTACCTGAGTTATGTGATGATTATTTTCAACAGGAAAATCTTATTGTTGGTAAACCTGAATTAACTTAGTTTCAGTCAGTTAACATGCATCTCTCATGCTGTTTATTTGCTTTTACTGTGAATACCATTACAGTTGTTTAATTATTCGAAAAATCTAAAAGACTAGCTCAGGATAAAATACCCCTGCACAACTCGTCATTCCCACTGCACTTTTCTTTGTCATACGCTTGCAAAATGACTTTATCATTGGATTTTATAATTAAAATTTATCTGCCTACATATATGCATAAATATAAACCGGCATTTCATGGATGCTTTCATCTTTTGACACAGTGAACGCGGATGGATTAAAACGAAAGATAGAAGAAATAAGAAGTGAAAAGAATGATTTTTCTTCTTTTTCTATTAAAAATCAAGGTATAATGTCACAAATGAGGATAATACGTGATTACTTTAACATTTGATGATGAAATCATATAAATATAAAACAGAAAGTAATAAGTACATCTATCCGTTCTTTTATTTTGCACATATGGATGTGATATCTGTCAATAGATAGGCTGTTTGTGTGCATGTATGCTTAAATGTATAGATACATGTGCTTATATGTACTAACAGTAATCACACATTATTTATTTAAGTCAATCCTAAATGTCTTTTTATCTTGGAAATTGGTGTGTCATTTCTTTTTTGAATAAAAAGTAATATCAAAACAGAATTTACCATATTGCCGACAAATATACATAAATGAAAACACATAGATAAATAAATCCCGTTGAAAATTGTATATATTATCTATTTAGTTCTTTCATGTTTCGCTTGTCTTCAGATTTATCTATTTGTTCATTTTATCAACAATGAGAAAGTGAATTATCTTTGCCTTGAACATATTCACCAGGCTAGTACTGACTGTGTCCTACTAAAACAGTAGTCTCAGGTGTGTTATTTGATGTAAAACCTAGCAATAGTGGGAACACTGTTTTTTTTGTTTTGACATACTTAATGTGCCGAAAATGTGGTCTGATATCTCGACTAAGAAAAGAAAATCATAAGTATTTATACCATTTCCAAGCAGCTGCAGCATGGTCATTGTACATCTGTAAGAATAAATCGATTGTTTAGCTAATGAAAATTCAGATTCTGTTGATTTGCTCAGCACTAATTTAAGCTGTCCGCTTTTTAGGCAGGGTAATTTACAGCGTTTTAAGTAATTTAATAAGCTGGTATATAAATATTTTAGTTGATATAGAAGCTTATGCAGAGACAAAGTAATATTGATGCTTGTTCTTTTGTTAGGAACAACGTTTCATTTTGTGTTGAGCTTATATACATGAAACTTGATTTACTTTTCCAATGCAGTAAAACAAAGGTGTCACTAACTGTTGAAACGCTTAAATGATAAAAAAAGTTGAGTAAGACAGTACAGGTAACTGTTTTGATGTTAACATCTGTTAATCAGTAAGAAACTCTAAAGTAAAATGAATACCTGTTGTTCTGGGTGATGCATTTCAAACTCTTTTAAATTATAAAGAGAAATTATAAATATAATGAACTGCACACCCTTGGAGAAGGTTAAATCTTTTTTTTGATTCCTTTCCGAGTGGAATAAAGAGCTTCAAGTTTCGAAGCTCCAGTAGCGGTGATGTTTACAAGGGTTGAAGTTGCTAGCCTAGAGCACAACATTTCCTCTTTTCTAGGCTTACTGACAGTTGCTTAACGAGGCCAGGCTTTTAGTAGTGTGTAATCCATGAGTCGAACCTCAACCTCCCACGTGGCTGGTGAGAATTCTGCCATTAAACTACCAGCACATTAAGAAAGCTGCTAAATAAGCAAAAATGTCACTTTTAGGTTTTTGGAATTAAAAACGTGAATATTCTCAATATAGTGTTACAAAAATATAGATTAACCAAGAAAATTTGCTTCAACATAATCAAAATTGAAAGAGGAATATATTTTAGCAACTTGTAAACTCTAAAAAAATCATTTTTGTGGATAAAAGATGAAAATAAAAACTCACAAAATTAATCACTATCGTCAACAATTACCAGAAGAGGAAACAGTCTAATTTATTAGCCAAATGCAAAGGTCAGAAGTAACTGCTCAATGTTTGCTTCAAATGA